CGTCCCGCAGGGCCGGGGCATGGGCGGGCTCGCCTCTGCCGGGTCGGGGCCTTCACCCCCTGCCGGGCCTGCTCTTTGACCCTTCTCTACCAGTGTTGCCCAAGAGGGTCGAGGAGGAGCAGCCGGCACCAAACCCCGTAACCCAGGGTGAGGTGACCCCGGAGTCGTCCACAGCCCCCCAGTCCCCGAAGCCGGAGAAAGTGCTGCAAGGCCGGCTTGTAGGGCTGCTGATCGGGGCTTCTCTGGTGCTCATAGCGGGCATCGCCTACGTGTGAGCACCCCGCGGAAGACGGGCAGGCTTGGAGTGGGGGGCGGGGTTCCAGGCTATCCAGGGCAGAAGCAGGTCTGCGGGCTAATGCCAACCCAGGCTGGACTTCTGCGGGTGGGTGGAGGTCACTCGGAGGGGCGCTTGGAGGGCAGGGCTTGGGTGATCGCTAGAGAAAGGCCACCTGGGGGGGCGACTGGGAGGGGTGCCCCTCACTCAATATAGTATCTAACCTGGTTCCATTGTTTGCACCCTCCACCCTCCCCCAGGGTATTTTCCCGAAGGAAAGTGGTAGATGTCATCAAGTCCTCACGGCTGGGCCTTGGCCGCAGAGATTCTGAGCGGCCCCTGGTTTCCAAGGCCACACACTCAAGGAGCCAATAAAGATTTATCTTATTGTCCAAGTATCTGACTCACTCCTCTGGACTGATCCTAACTTTTGTTCCCCGAGAGGATAGTCTGGGGGTGGACTCCTGCCTGAGGGAAGAGGGGTGGGGGCGGGAGAACCGGAGACCGGGCCCCCGGGTACTGGAGGGGACCCACTGATGGCGATGGAATTCCCGAATCAAGGCATGAGACAGGCCCTACCCAGATCTCCTCCCCCAGGCCCGGGCTCCGCACAGGACGCCCCCTCCCCGCTCTTCCTGCCGGGTTTCCTCTCGCCTTTTCCTGTCCCCCACCCAGTGCTGGGAGCTGGGGCAGAGGCAAAGGCTGAACAGGAGCAGTGGAACTAACCCAGGCCAGCGGAGCCAGGGCCTCCGGGGGTGCTGGACCCGAAGCAGGTAAGAGCCAGGGGCCCAGGAGTCTGGGCCCAAGTGAGTCCCCAGCTGCGTCCCATCCCAGGACTCGGGAGTCCTGGGTTCCATCCCTGTCCTCCACCTGGATTCGGAGCCCCAGCCTCCTCCTCCCTCTGACTCTGGGGTCCGGGGCCCTCATGCCCCAGACCCACACTCAGTGCCTGAGGAGTTGGGGTCTGATCCACCCTCCCTCAGGGCCATGCTGTCTGGTGAGCGGAAGGAGGGCGGAAGCCCCCGGTTCGGGAAGCTTCATCTCCCCGTAGGCCTGTGGATCAATTCCCACAGGAAGCAACTGGCCAAGCTGGGGCGGCGGTGGCCCAGCGCGGCCTCTGTCAAGTGAGTACCCACCTCCGCGCCTCCCGCCCCTGCCCACCTGCTTCCCGTCTGTCCCTGTTCGCGGCCCAGTCCCTCAAAGGGTCGGCTCCGGTTCTTGTCCTGAGTGGGCCAGCAAGCTGGGTAGAGGGAGACAGGGGGACACAGAGACAACAGGGTGCGGTGGGGAGGGGGGAACGGGGTCAGGAGATGGAGCTAGGCCAAGCGGGCTGGGGGCCTGGACACGGGAGGCACGGGGGTTGGATTCGCCTTCCGTCCTCCCCTCCTTGCTCATATCTCTTGGGACTTCCTTCTGGGGGACTCGCCTTCATTTGCTTGTTCTCTCTCTCTCTCT